TTTTTTTTCTATAAAATCTATAACACCTAAAAAAGAACATGGACACGAACATACAAGTTTTCCAATAGAGCGCGAAGAACGTGCCCGTCCTTGACAGATAAAAATTGCACAAAAGTTCATTCAATCCCGTCCCTTTCCCCGCAAAATGCATTTCCTGGAAAGGAAAGGATTCCCAGAAGATGCACAAAAAGAGCGAGATATCGCGACCAAAACACCAACAGTCCACTCCAATAATCCTCGAACTCTGAACGAATTTGCAAAACAGCATTTTCTCGTGACCCACGAGGATAAGCCCCCCACAATTCCAATGGTATTCTTCAACAACTCTTTCGTCTCCAACTCTTTCTTTTTTTTTTTTTTTTTTTTACCTCGATTTCTTCGAGCCACGAGCGAATAATCAATCGTCAAATTTTAGAAAAAGCGTTGAATCGCGAACGAAATCGAAGACAAGACACTTCTTCTCTCACAGTTAACTCGGTTCACTCGATTCACTCACTCGATGGAATTCTTGAGGAGATTTCATTAATTCTTGAAAGCGTACGTCGTTCGAGCGGATCGATGGATCGAATGAATTGGATCGAAATTGATGCGATTTTCGCGCGAACCGATCGAGGGACGAAACGCGACTGGTGCCGTTTGTCTGGCACGCGATTGATAAGCTCGTTATCTTCTCCGCGGATGTTAATTTTTCTTCCTCTTCTCCCTCCCCGTTTCTCCTCGTTCTTTGTCCGTTCTTTGTACACCGACACGTCGATCTCGTGCGAACGAGAGACGTCTATCTAGTGGAGTAGCAAGTATTGGGACCAATATACTCTTGAAAAAGAATATTTGGAAAAGAAATAAAGAGAATATTATAAGAAAAGGATCGCCACGTTTTTCTCGAGGTAATTATCGATGATGCTGATGAGGAAAGAAAGATGTATTATATGTATTTATTCCAATCGATAGATAATTGAGTCGAATCTTTTTGAATAATAATTAATAATAGATCGTTCATTACATCATTCTTACTTGCTCTTCATCTCTCGATAATTCAATCATTCGAAACAACTAAATAATAATAATAAATGTAGTAAACAGAAAACCTTGCATTATCACAGGAAGAACAGAAATGTCTTTGTTACTGGTTCATAAACACTGGATGTTTTCTCATGAGATATTCAATTGTCAATCAAGACTTCGCTTTAAATGCAATAAGAATTCGCAAGCGAGGAAAAAATTTCGCAACTCTTTTCGAACATCGTCAATTATTTAAAGAACGCAGAGATTTCTCTAAACGTCTTAATCTGAAGTAATCCAATATTTGTGTACGAGCCAGCAGTGTCAACCGCAAGCAGCTCGAGATCGACTTAAAATAGCAACCCTGTCGAATCAAAATCCCTAGAAGAAAAGTTGGAATTCGATTTCGAGGCTGTTCGAAAGTTGGAACATCGGCGTTCCATTTGCGGGGAATAGCGTAACGTGGCCGCTTTGTGGTTGCACCACTTGGCTGACGTCTCGAGAAAATCCTTTGGGAGAGGTTGAAGATGGAGAAGAGTTGTAGAATAATCGAACGAGGCTTTGAGATTTGACGTTCGACGATGTTTTCAAAACAGATTTTTTTGGCAACAGCAGATTCGAGATAAATGTTCCGTATATAATAAGAGAAAAATTTCGAAGAAAGGACGAAACTGACATTTTCCGCTCTATGCCGAAAAGAAAGCGCAATCTCCTTTCCGAAGAGACAAAGAAACGAGAAATAATTTTTGCTATTTTCGCAAATTATGTAATTTCCTCTGATCACTGTCAATAAGGCT